ATATCTTCAAATAAATTGTTTTCAATTGGTTAGGTAGTAAAAGGAATATTAAGGAAAGAAGAGAGTTCAATAATTTCTATATTTGCAGGATCAAAAATGAAATTATAATAAATATTAAATGCTTGAAAAGTTTCTTCGACAATCCTATCCAAATGAACAGGTTCAGGGTATTTGATAGATAAGATTAATTGTTCTACTATACTGATGTGGAAAGGAAATTAACAGTTTGTTAAACAAAGTAACAATAGGTCTTAAATGAATATTGGATAGCAGAAAAAATAATATAAAACCAATTCCAAAAGTGATTAAGTAAATATTATAATTTCCGATAAGAGAAAAGCAAACAGTACAAGATTTGTCTGGTTGTCTTTGCTGAAGGGCTTTCTTAGTTTATTTTGGATTGTTTAAGTATAATTGATTGTGCAAGTAGTTAATGCTCACAAACATTTAATAATTTATTATGAATCTTTTTATCACTGATATTCTTTTTGTTAGACTTTGGATGCGAATTACAGGCTTTTTCTTGCTGTAAATATCTCCAATACTGAATAAAGTTTTCATACAGTCTTCTTTAAGATTTGTTTCTTCATAGTTTTCTCAAGATGGGTGAGCAGTATCTCACAGTTGTCACCAATTTGTCATATATCGTTTCTACCTCAAAAGAAAAATAAAGACAGAAAACTAGTAGCAGGGAGGCACTTTAGATGGACAGAACCAATGTGATATATTAAAGTTCTTAGAGATATACAATTTGTACAATTCTGAGGTGTATAAGATTAGGCAAAAGAGGCAATGGTAATTTGTTTTATAAAGGTCAAGATATTTATTTGATAATTATAAGTTCAAGCCTGTCAATTTCTAAATGAAATTGGAGACTTTATATGCATGTTTAAGTTATAATATTTTTGTACATGATAATTATAAGTTATAAAAAACAATAGAGATATAAAAGAAATGTTATATTTGTTAGAACAGTTATCTGTATGTGTTAGCATAGAAACAAATGCTCTGACAAAGATACAAAAATAAAGATAAGTAAATAAAATAGGAAATATTCTAGAGCAACAACAGCACAAAAAGCACGGTGCTAAACAATAACAGAAATAGTAATACAAGAATTATTCTAGAATGACAGCATTTCAAGAGTAAATGCTAGTGAAAATCAAACAAGAGGTAGTGATGATCTTGGGTGAAAATCAAGTGTAACAATATTAAATGTAATTTTATAAAACTTAATATTTAAATACTTTAATTTACTCTAAACAAAATTTATTAATATTAAATCGCTTGTTAAAGCAATAGTTAAAAAAAACTTAATGAATGTCAAAATTTTGATAATAATATTAAAAAATTTCATTCAGAAAAAAATTGTTAAATGCAATAATAAAAGTTTATATAAATTTAATAAAATTTCATTATAGATAGAATTCATTAACAGGAATAAGTTTACTTAATGCATAAAAATTGTTTTTATTAATAAAATAAAAGATTTAATATATAACAATTATTTCCAATTAATTATAATAATTTTTATGTGGTCCTACATTTATTGGGGGAAACAGTACATGGAAATTAGACAGTAAACTCTTTGTACATGTTAAAAAATTTCTAATCAATGTATTGCAAAATATACAAATAATTGTGTTTTCCTACACATGTTTTTTCTTTAACTTTAAAAGTCCTGACAATGAATAGCTATCCTTGTAATTGTTCGTTTTTAATATCAACATAGTTACCAAAAAAAGATATATTGGCTTGTGGATGGACTTTATTAAATAACTTTAACATATAAAATATTGACTATGTACTGCATATAAATAATCTTTATATCGTTGACTTTACTTAATAATAAAATTATTTATTAAGTTATTTTTATGAATTTTCGAGCCCACAAAGTACGGGTTAGGAAATAAAAATTTTACTTTTTTTTTGTGCAAAAATATTTTGATTTTAAATATTGCAAGTTGTACCTGTTTTCATGTTTCAATTTAGATGCTGTATTTGATATGCCGTGGCTTTTTTTAAGTACTAAAGGCTTCCAGGAATTATTGGGTTGGTAGCGCGACAATCAAGACGCGTCGCGTAATTATGAAAAATGATGGTAGAATGATAATAATGTGGCAATAGTATGTAATAGGGTGGCTGCGTCAACAAGCCATATAAATATGATAGTTTATGTAGTTTTTAGGCGCAAGTCTGATTTTAGAGTTAGTTTGAAACACTCCGGTTTTCTCGCGCTTTATTAAATAAATGCTATTCTACTTCTCATAATAAGCATATACACTCTCTGAAGTATAAACTAAGACTACCACTACTACAGTAAAGTAGCCTTTAATGGTAGAAGCTGAATTACCTTTTGCACCGTAAGGAGAGACACTTGTGATCTTGAGACGCGCCTATAGAGAAAGACGGTCAAGAAAAGACTAGTAAGTGTGAAAGTCGGTAACCGCAAAGAGTGAGCCGACTCGCCGGTGACGACAACGATGTAGAAAAAAATTGATTTTTTTTTTTAAAAAACAAAAAATTGTGCATGCGTAGTTGTTATTCACGGTGATACAAGATAAGCGTTAATACTTTATACTGTACTGATCGGTAAAATACAGTATTTTCTTTGCATTTTTTATTATTATTCAAGCGTCAAGGGAAAGAAAGCATATATAAATGACAGGCCCACTCAAGGATTAATATACAATGAGACACATATAAGGAAGTACAGATAATGTAATAAAGTATTGTACCTTTTAATATTATTGGAAATAGTGTTCACTCTAGCATAAATAGTTATTTTATCTCTCGTTACGCGAGAATTACTAGGGATTTACTAACCAATAATCATATGAAAAATACCCTTACCATAAATAATAACGGCGACCTAGTGATTATTTCTATTTATGGATATGTACGTGCATTGTAAGCATTACGTACTTCGCGGAAACTGTAACGCAAGATCGAAATCTGAACAAAATTTTACGACTTCACTACATTTACATAATTTTTAATTCTTATTTCTACTCTTTGAAATAGTAATCAGCTATTAAAATTTGCAAATAATTCAAAGATTCGGAAGGTATTTATTTTTTAACGAAAAATTTTAATATTTCTTGTCTGTCAATATATCTTACTAAATAATAATCCCAAATTTCTCAGCATCGATTACTTATTTTAAAGTCATATCATATAATATTTTTTTTTGACTTCGTTATTATTTTTATTATTAACTAATAATAATGGCGATAATACTGATGAAGGGTTAAACGCAAAAGGATTCATATAAAATAGTGTTACGAGGGGGTTGGGGTCGAAATCGTGGGATTGATTTAGCGGATCTTAAAATGTGCGTACTATATAAAAAGTAGCAAGCAGACAAATAAATAATTGGATTGTCATGTATTGCAGGCCAAGAGGATCTATATTTATTATTCTAAAACTTCCTTCTTATCTTTTTATATTTTATTTTCTAGTGGGTTAGTAAAGATTCCATGAACCTCTACTATCCAATGGATTCGCATGATTCTAAGGATTTAAGGGCCTTAAGATTTCTAGGATTCTGCTTCTTACAGTATATCGTATATCTCATGATTTAACTTCATGAGATGAACGTCATCCATACAACAGATTGCTTATACTTACGAACAAAAATTCAAATCTTTTGTTATATGAGAACAACCTTTGCACGAGCATACTTTTTTCTTTATTGATATCAAAACACTGATTTTATATAATGGGCTTGTAAATTTTAAATACCAAATAACAACTGGTGTATCGAATAATTTTAATATAAAATTAATGTCGTCGTGGACGTACGTATCTAAAAAAGATAATATTAAGTGCTTGGTATTGAATACTTTAAATATCTACTATATACTTCAGTTACGTGATGGAATTTGACATAAAAATAAAATTTCTTCATACAAATTTTTTGTGCTTCTCAATGAAATATTTTATCGTCTCATTCAATGTAGATGCACAATAAAGTCGATTTTCCTTTACAAGTATAATATACCTAAATCAAAAACGTTATTCTTTAATCAAGATGGATAGTTAACGTAAGCATAAATAATTCGGAGAAATCTTCCAAATTTTGCACCGAACCAAGATGTTATAGCAATATTTTTCCATAAATGTCTGCCGTCCGCAATTAAGCACTGTATTAGTTAATAAGATATAGACAATTACTGCCGTTAATTCTTTAATTCATGCAAAAAAATGTGAACGACGAAGCGTTATGCGCTTGCTCCTTTCTGCATTAAAAATATCATTATTCTTTTATACTTTACTTTCTTGTGGAAATTGATTAACGACCCGGACTTTTTTCGACAATATTAAAGTAAAGTCCGTATTTTTATTGTAGAAAGAAACTACAATGTTTTTAGAAAAATATGATGCGGTGCAAACGCCACATTATAAAAAGAAAGGGCTCTCCTATTTAAGACACTTGAATAAAAATTATTCTGCATGAAATTGACATACAATAATGACTGAATTTGATGTTAGTACAATTTCAAATACCAGAAACAAATGCATACAAGCGAGCAAAGTAATAATCTTGCAAGATAAACACTTCTTAATTTATTTTGTAAATTATGAACTTTGAATATCTCGATAAAACAAATTGACTTTATAAATTTTAGCATTTTATGATTATTGAATAATAAAAATTTGAAATACTGTATTAGAATCCAGTAGCTCGGAGCATCTACTCCGCGGGTGAAATCCGTACAACGATGATGTGCCGTATTTACAAAATTTTCTTATGGTTGCCTTTTTACCATTTTTGGTGTTATTATACTGTACATAAACACCGAGATCCCTACATGGTAAACGACTTCTAAATTCATGTGTGTCGATAAACGTGATTGTAAATCACTATGTATTGACATGATTTTATTGCAAGAGATTTATATATTTAAAACGATTCGAAAAAGTTATAAAAGAAAGGAGGTTTATAGGATCGAATTCTTATTCCTGATTCACGGAATAAATAAGAACTTATTGAAATCATGAATCAAAATCGTTTATACGTCTTATTGGTAGTTTTCTTTATTACCACTATTTCCGTAACAAATTCACTTCCAAGTGGAAAATTTAAGAGAAGCGACGATGCATGCGCCAATATAAAACAAGCTTACTTGGATGTTTTGAATACAACAAAAAATCCGGATATCAAGTATGCCGACGTAAAAAATTGTTTCGAATCTTTTTCTTATAATTATACTAGGGCATCAGAAGTAAGTGAAACCATATAAATCATATTTTTCATATGTAAATTAAATCTCATTAATTAATAAAATATCCTCACATGATAGCTCATAGAAATATTTAAAGGGCTTTATGGAAATTTCTATGTGTTTTTGGATCAAGCTAAAGAGCCTCCCCAGCCTGGCCTTGACTATAAACCCCTTGATTTGCTAAAGGAATTTGATAATCTACTCGAAAAGGATTATAAATCTGATTTTGAATTTATGGTTAATGTTATTCATGTTTATCATGGTTGAATGAAAGCATTACGTATATTAACTATTCTTATCTTTATTATAATAATTATAGAACGCTATAATGGATATTTTATATGGCCTAAAGGATGCTCACGTTAATTTCAATCCTCTTTGTTATAGCGGATTTTTTTTCGACCAAGAAATTTATTTATACTCTGTTGTCAAATCCGACGGAACACAGGTAAAGTTTAGCGGTTACTTATGGCCTATTGATAAATTTATTATGTAAATTATATTCAAAATAATGTAATTTAAATCACAGACGATTCAAGTTTATGAATATGCGTCCGACCCATCGATTAAAAATTGTGAGGTCACTCTCATTAATGGTAAACCTGCGTTTGATGTGATCGTCGAATATGCCGACACTTCCGTATCCTCCTCACGTGATCTCGGTGTAAGATTTAATGTTGCCTTAGCGTCTTTAACGGCAACTGGTGGAATGAAAAAAGGCGAATTTGGATTCCGTACAAGACTACCTGAAACCAAATCTATTTCTTATGATCTTGTGTGTTCGGGAAAGAAGTCTCGAATTGACATTCCTTGGAAAATTTCCATTCAAGACTATCGACTATTCCCCCTATTTAATGATTCTAAGGATTACTTTGACAACCTCTGCAATAATCCTAATAAATCATTTCCCTATATAACGGATGTAGAAAACGTTGAAAAAAAAGCTGATTCAGAGCCACTCGTAAAGCCTTTACTAAATGTATCCACTATGGCAAGTTTCTATCAATTAGATGAAATCGGTGTTGTGGTCGTTTCTTCATTCGCTGATGATAATCATACGTTGGAACCCACCTTCCCAGAGATTTACAATGGCTTGATTAATGGATTTAACTTGTTGGCTCAAGCTAATGTTAAAAAGGTAAAGACAATGAATTTAAATAAAGTTTTTATTAGCGTTATGACTTACAAAAAAAAAAAAAATTATCATTCATAGATAGTCCTTGATTTCACATATAATGGAGGAGGAATAGTGGAATGGTCTTCATTTTTAAATAGTCTTTTACTTTATAAAAAGGACATCGTTACATTTCCAGGTGACATAAAGGTGTCGGATATTTCGAAACTTGCAATCAACACGAGTACATCCGAAAATCTCGGATCACTATTCAATGGTCACAATTTTGTAGATTTCACCACACAAAAACCCTTTAACACTTCAGAGGAATTTATTGGGAATAATTTCTATAACCGCGGGGGTGATAGAGTTAGGTTTACAAATAAATTCTTCGATATCATATCTAATTATACCGACGCAAGTCTTAATAGTGTGACAAAGCTGCCATGGAATCCAAGTGATATGATTATTTTGACGAATGGATTTTGTGGATCTTCGTGTGCCCTTACTTCGTTATTCTTGTCCGAGATAGGTCAAATTTCCACTGTATCTGTTGGAGGTAATTATATTCGTATATATATCTACACCATATTTAAGCAATGTTAACAAATTTCTTTAATAGGTTTTTATAATAAATCGCTTTCGTTTTCTTCATTTGCTGGAGGAAGTGTCCTACATACCGATTCGCTCATTAATGAATTACAATCCCTAAAATTAAAAAACGACAAACAATTTAGTTTTTATAACGTTCGAATATTAAGGTCTGACGATGCAAGTTTCACCTTTAAAGAAGTATACAGCATAGAAAAGCCCGATGATGTATTGGAGTTTCAGTTCAGACCTGCCCAGTACAGGTTGTATTATGATGACGAGAACTCCAGAGATTTAACTAAATTGTGGAAACAGGCTGCTTCTCTTATTAAGAAAACTTAATAATGATTTCATATTTGGGCTTTATTACTCAAAATACCGTGTGGTATTTTTACTTTGTAATTTTTCAATATAAATAAAAACCATTAAAGTATATGTTATCAAATTAGGACGTAATCATTAATGAAATATTATCGATTATTAATTGGATTAGTAAAAATTAGTTTAATTAAAACAAACCTTTAAGATCTAATAAAAAAAATAAATAAAGTTAAAATTTATTTATCCAAAAATTTAGTATGAGAATTTTATAGAAAAGATACTAAATTAATAAGCCCCTTAAAGTCCTTGCATGTGGCTAGGGGGCCTAAAGAGGAATTTACTGTTGAATTAAGCTACAGTACTGCTGTTACTAAATTAGATTCCGGATATAAATATATCGGTGTACCTGTGTTAAAGCCATGATGGTTTTCCCCGACCCCCCTCCCCCACCGCGACGTAATAGGTTCTTTAATCTAGGGCTTGGATCCGATTTATAAAATTCGGATAAAAGAATAACTTATTCTTTTTTAATAAAGGTATCGAAATTCGGATTTTTTTTATTTAAATCAGATATATATGACGTAGTATATCCAGTTATGAATCCAGGTATAATATAATAAATATGGTTATTAATCCAGATATGAAAAAACAATATTCGCATTTATATGGGTAATTATTTTTGAAGACGACAAAAATGCTAGATATGATTTTTTCGGACCCAACTTTTAAACAATACATATATAATATAAATTTTAGGATCACGCCAGAAAATTTCCGGTTCGCCTTCTACCCACATATATATAAATTGATGGCATTTTCTAACATAGGTACAGTATCATATTTTTTTATATATCTAAGCTTCTCATCACACGATAGTCTTGTTTTTAGCTAGAAATAACTACTATATTAATGCGTCACTATTTGAGTTTTATGCTGCCTATATGAATCAAATTTATCACGTGGTAGCTATATCTCTTCATAGACCATACATAGACTCCTATCAATAACTGGATATAGATTCTTGTAACATATGTGGAAAAGCTATTAACATCACTAAGCTTTCAAGTTGCATGAAAATAGACAATGAGATTCTTTTTGCATGCAGCACCGTCTTTTATTGCCTTTCGCAAGCAGTTACTATGCATTTTATGAATATGAATGCGATCCAGAATTTTCTTCTCAAGGTAAAATGCACATGCAAAAATGCCCTAATTTTGCAAAGAAAAGCAATTTTGTTGGTGTCGTAGATGAATAAGCATGTTATAAACTTTTTTTCGAAGTACAACTCTAAAAAGCGAACGAAGGTGGGATAGTCGAAAAGCCCTCTTACTTAAAAAGTCATGTAAATAGGATTAATGGATGTCCAAAAAATGCTTTGGGAAATAAGGCCGTGGAGAGGAGGTCAATCAGGTTTTAGAGACGCCGACACCATCTCCATCGTCCATACACCATCAGTAACCTGCGGATAATGGTGGCGACAGAATGGCACCAATTTCTTATCCAGCTATAAAATTAAAAAAGTCTCCAATTTTCACACTCAGATACCATACAATCGTCAACAAATGTGATTTTTCCTTCACTTCAGCAATCACCCCTATGTCCGCGGAACAGCCAACTTATGTGATCACTTTATCTCAGAATGCATCTCAGCTACTGTATATAAACCCGCTCTCACCCTGCACATTTGTCATTTCCTCAATACCATCCGCAATTCCAAGTGTATTCTAAAGTTATTGCCTGGAAATATATGGTTGAAAATGTAATGAAAATAGATATCAAACCTGTGACAATACATAGTCCAATTTCTCTTCTGTCATGACTACTTTTTTTTAGTAACGACAATAATCCTAAAGCTATAATTGATTTCAAATAACTAATATCTACACAAGGTGCACATTTAACTTCTAACCAAAGTGCAAGCTGCCATATGAATCTTATAATATTTATAAGATATTAAGAATAGTATTTATTTTGCTAAGAGTATAAGCAAATATATTTATTATTATTTGTAGAAAAGTTAAATAAAGAAAGACAATAATGATTATATATTACTAGTTTATTCTATTATATAATAAATATTATATTTTAATAAAAATTTTTTTTTATTTTTTTTTTTGCTTTTTCAAATAAAAAAAAAAAGCACATTGGTAAATAAAAATAATTCTATATTACTCTTTACTGAAACCTATCAAATTCTGATAACCTGGTCACGTGATCGTCGCGATTTTGTGACTGAATCGTGGAGATTCAATCGCGATTTAATGGTTTTTACTATGTCGCGACCAAATCTCAGCCATTT